CTACCTCAGGTCCTTAATATAAGACCCTATTTGACTTTTATTTTGGTCTTAAATATAAGACTCCAATCCATTTTGTCTCTCATATTTACTCAATTTTTTCCAAGATAATCCTTTTAATAATTATAGTTCTAGTTAATATACTTGATTAGCAAGGATATTTTAGAAAAGACAACACCTATTTAGGACAAATAACTAACTCAACTTACTTCCTTAATCTCCTTAAATTAGTCAACTGGCTCTTATAATTAGGACCGGAGGTAGTATAATAGTAGGAGCAAATTAGTTAAGGTTGGATTTTTATGGAAAAATTGTTGAGGGCATGTTGGAGCAGTGGATCGGATGAGACAGACGAGTCGGATCGTTAGAAGGGTCCTAATCATGTGATGACAGCAACTACAAAGAAACTAGGATTCTCAAAATTAATATGTATTTTAATTTAAGTCCATGTTCATCTGGAACATCATATTATTTTATTCACCACCTGGAATGTTAATTAATTTATATATGCCCAACCAACATCTTGGAACAAGATCATATTTGATTGGAATAATCATCAAGACTATCCCTCAACTTGAGTTTTGCCAGACTGTTCATTTGGTGTAATCCCTATTATCCTATTAATTATTAATTAATACTCATTTGGTCCGGAACAAAGAGAGAGCAGAGAGTATATATTTATTAATTAATAATTACTTATTTATAGGGTAGAGAGCAAAGAGTTTTTTTATATTCTTAAATCTTAATATAAGTTGCCTCATTAAATTTATTATATGAATGTGTAATTTTACCTTTTATTTATTGTTCTATATACTTTTATTTTCTTAAAAAGGAGTATACATATTTAAATTGGGGCGAAGTGAGAGAGTTATTAAATTATAAGATACAAATAGTAAAGTTTAATTTGTGTGTTTTTGATTATGATGAAATGTACTGAAAATATCTTATAAAAATAGGAAGGCCTTGGTAATAATAAACAAAGTCCATGAAGAAACGGGGATATGAGTAGTGGGGTGAAATGAGAGCCCATGAAACTCAGGGCAGATCAAAGCCCATTTAATTGGGCTCAAGGCCCAGAACAAGCTCACACAAACACACACAAACGGGTGGGTTTTAATGATAAATGAAGTTAAGAGAGAAGGGTGGGAGCATTTGCATATGCCCTGATAGTGATGTTGAGCTTACTGTATATATATGGATGAATATGGGTAAAGAGAGGGGAGAAAGAAGCAGTGGACCCATGCCAGTTGGTATTTCTGAATTTGCAACTCACACACCAAACTTCTTTAAATCACCAAACCTACCTATCTTTATATATCATCACCCCTTTTTAGTCTCTGTCCACATTTTATTTCAGCAGCTATTTAATTAATTTAAGTAGATAAAAAAACTAAATAAATTACTTAATTTAAACAAATGTAACATGATCTTTCTAAACTATCTTTAGGTAATACAGTATTACATTATATATCGGTTTATAAATCAGATAAATTAGTTTATGAAAAAACAATAAATATAAGAGATAAAATGAATTAATGTTTTATGTGTAGGATGAAAAAACCAACTTTGTAATTATCATAAGTCCACAGGCTTCTCCATATTTTAATTTAGATAAGCTTCATTAATCCATTTAACGTAACCCATATACTGAATGAAAAATGATCTTGTTTATTTTCAATATCTATCCCTTATCAATAATTTCAAACCCAGAGAATGAGGCCTATAGCCACATGGTATCTGGCAGGAAGTTATTAGAGATATATGGGATTCAACTTCTCTTTACTGATAAATTTTTAACAGACAAGAAGAACAAATAAGAGTGAAACCTTAGATAGATACATGGAAGCCACCGAACTAATAAGAGTAAAACCTTAGATAGTGGTGGATGCATGCAGCTTCCATCATTTGTCTGTTTCGGTCGGGTCCCTTCAACTCTCACCTCCATGCATCTAGCCATCTTCCTTCCCTTTCAAATCTATCCTTTTCAAAACATTATTACACACACACACACACACACACACACACACTTTCTTGAAAGACATTCATCAAACCAACTAAAAAGTGAACATACATCGGTAATGAACTCATAATACTCCTCCGGTCATTAATATAAAACCCATTTAGCTAATTTGATTAGATTAAGGAAGTTAGGTAAGTTAGTTAATTATAAGAAAAGTGACACATTTTTCCTAAAATACCATAATCATCTTTCTTAATACCATCTCTCCTTCTTTTATTTGATTATGGTTGAGGGAGTATCTATAGGGGTAATTTAGAGAAAATTGATAAATATAAGAAATGGGTCTTATATTTAGGACCAAAACTAACTCAACAATTGGGTCCTATATTAAGGACCAGAGGAGTATAATAACATAGAAAAGTTATGGGTTTGATTCCGCCTGCAATCTTTATTATTTATGATAATTACATTCTAGAATGTTTTATGTTTAATTCCGAGGGTTAGAGTTGAGGCTATAAATAGCCTTGAATACATTTCATTTTGCACGTTTTATGATTTGAATAAACAGATTATTAAATCTCTCTCTCTTTTCTGAATTCTTTTCCCCTTTTATTTGTGTGGTATCCCTCCTCTCTTGTTGTCCTCCCGCCTTTAATCTCTCTCTCTCTCCTTTCTCTTTCTCCCCTTCCCCGTCTTGCATTACCATTAGTGCCTGCATTTTTAAATATAGAAAACATGCACACTTAACATCAACTTCGACTAAATTGCCTGTCTAATATTTAGGAATTTTTAGAAAGATAATGAAGAATAACGAACAAGTATGTGAGGCGTGTATGGGTGTTATATATTGATGAGGTTTGACGGTGGTTGTGTGGGGTTTATTTTGCTGTGAATGTGATTGATAGGAACAGGAATGTTGAAACTACATGTACACGAGGGGCTTTTTAATGCCTCAACAGTTGGATCCAACTGTTTCTCTTAATTGCCTTGTCTGTCAATTATTAGACTGTATCCGATATTTAATATAAGAGCTATTTTTTTATCTTATTTATAAAGTACTTTTAACATATTTTATACAGACCAAGAAAAATCTTTAACTGTATTAACTCTTCATTAAAATATAATAACTTTCCAACTTTACCCTTATTTAATATATACATTTATTTTTTTAAAAAGAACTATCTATACTATAATAAATGAAGGATAAAATAATATATTCATGCTAAAACTTTAATGAAGTGATTTATAAATAGGACCAAGAAAAACTTCCGCTCTCTACCTTCTAAACAGGACTAAAGGAATACTTAATTGATCCGAATAGATTAAGAAAATTAAGTTTATTATTTATAATAAATATGACTTAATTTTCTTAAACTATCATTTTTAATCATGACTACTCTTATATAGAAACCCAGCCCCTTAATATATGTTACCAATTTGGATACTTTAAAGAATGAACTACACATTTGAGAAATAACATAGATTGATGTCTTATATTTATGACTAAATTTAATCTTTAACTAGTTTTTATATTAAAGACGAAAGGTAGCATATAGCATCTTGCCTTATGTTAAGCATTTGAGTTTTTTTTTCTTTTTACATGCACACATCACCTAGCGTAAACTTGTCTAATCTGTTTAGAATGTTTTATAGGCAGTTTTTTTTATCGTAATTTACGAAATACGAGATAAGTATGTGAGAAAAATTTTATCTCAGCTTACATGAAACATATTTAAAAATAGTTATATAAGCAAATCCATATGGGCGCTAAATCTGGGGGATGTGCATGGGGCTTCTATTCTAAAGTGAAATGCACTGAATAACATTAAAGTTATTGTTTAATTTGGTGTAAGGAGAAACATTTGCAAGGGCTCCACTACAATCATGTTGATTTCGATGTGAATGATTCAATTGTACGAGTCTTGAATTTCTTCCACATATATCTCTATGTGGCCCCTTCATTATTTAATTCATACACGTACCAGACCAAATCATTGGCTGCAAAATATTTTCCACTCTCTCTTTGTGCTTCCTCTATATTCCTGACCGAGGAAATGCACACAGTTGATTTTGTATTTGAATTAACTATTTTTTCAAATGATTTTGCCGTGTTTGAAATAAATATGTGAGAGAAATTTAATTTTGATTTGCGTAAAAGTAATTTTTTAAGAGTTTTTAAAGGTTCAATTCCCAAACTCCCCTACTAGATATTACTACTTTTGATTTTATAGATATTAAGAAAATTAGTTAAATTAATTATTTGCAATATATATGTATTAGTTTCTTTAAAATATCTTATTTAGTAATATGATGTACAAGAGTGTGATATCAACAAAAAACTAATAAACTAACCCATATCACATTGGGAAACTGTACGTCGTTCGTTCATGATTATGATGGACAAGAGTCCTAATATTATTTTTAGGACCCAACCTAAGAATTCATTCTTAATGAAAAAAGAATATTGAAAGCAACGGATTTATCTCTTTCACTCATTTCCAGACTACCGTTGGCATCAAAGAGGCAACACGTACTGGACAAAACAATGAGAACATCGATCCTTCATATTCCAAAACTGAAGTCCTAGTTAAACCTTTTAGATTATACATACCTAAAACATCCCATCCAATTAAAGAATATTTTAATTTAAATAATAATTTAATTAACAATGTGATGATAAATATTTGAGGGTTCCATTTTGTTTTGTTGCTTTCAAAATAATACTGTGACAAAATTTTGGGGGTATCTACGTACTGGGTATTCCCATGTTTGGTTTGCACATAAATTCGGCCGAGAGGCTTAATAACAATGATCAATACTTTATTATCCTTTAATTTGGATGTTTAACTTAATTTGTCATCTGGAAGAAAATCCACACAGTCCGATCTCCAATCTCATGGTCGAACCAATCTCCACCGTCTATGCATTCTTTGACCTGTCCCTCCCTCTTATAGTCCTATAAATACATCCAATTAAGCACTTGACCAGCATGCCCATGCACTAAGAAAGAGTAAGCGACTTCCCAATAATCACAGCCCAAGAAATGCCAGCCGACGGCGATGTGGAGCTGACCACTCCGGTGAAGGCAGCCCCGGAGATGAACCAGAGGTTAGACGTGGCGGTGCAGAACAGGGCAACGGTGGAGGCACTGTACAAGGCGTTGTTGGGACAGGGGCACATGGACAAAGTGGCCAAGTTGATAGCAAATGACCTGGAGTATTGGTTCCATGGTCCACCGGGGAGACAGCACATGATGAGGATTCTGACCGGTGAGACGGCACCGAACAAAGCCGGCTTCCAGTTCGAGCCGAGGAGCGTGACGGCCATCGGCGACTGCGTTATCACGGAGGGCTGGGAGGGACAGGCGTATTGGGTGCACGTTTGGACGTTGAAGAATGGGTTGATCACAAAGTTCAGAGAGTACTTCAACACTTGGCTGGTCGTGAGGGACCTGAGGGAAACTCCGGCGGCACCGGTGGCGTGGGTGGAAGAAGATCAAAAGCAGGTGGAGAAGATAACGTTGTGGCAGAGTCAGCCTCGTGATCTCTACCGCCGATCACTTCCGGGATTACTCTTGGCCATTTAGCCACAATAATATCATCATTTTGATCTTTTTATAAACCAAAAAAGTGTACTTAGCATTTAATAACACGTTCATTTTCAAAAACTCAACAAATAGCGTCAAGCATTGTGAGTTCGGTACTGTATTTGGAATGTGTGGGTCAAATCGTCAAGTGCTCCGAAAAATAAATTTGAGAGAAAACAATAATAATGACTGTGTCAGAAAAAGAGAGAGAAAAACTATGAAGAATAAAGAAGCTTGAAGAAGCATATGCCGTAGTATATACATGGAATATATATTCTTGTGTTTTTTAATATTTAATTTGCCTTCCTTTTCTTTGTGTCTTGCTTCTTTTTTGGAAGGGCCTTTCTTGTATTATTGTGGAAAAAGTGAAGTCATTTATCGCGAATTAACTTTCTTAGTTTAGAAGATCCATCATCCCACTTGATTCACCCTCTCTGTTACAAGGGGATTGACCCCAAAAGAGGAAATAGATTCTTATAAATTCATATTTGAAACATGTTAAAAGTAAAATGTAGAGGTTTCATAGAGTTTGACTTAAAAGTATATGTGTATATTGAAAAAGGAAAAAAAAAAAAAAACATAACACCCAAGCATTCATGACTTAGTGGTAAGAAGCTCGGTTTTGTTGGTTAAATATTATAGATTTGATCTCACTTGCAACTGTTTAGCTTGCTTTTTATGCTAATGATAATAATAAAGAACTTTATTAAAAAAATCAATAAAACTTTTGGGTGGGTTGAGGATGTTCGCAGCGTGTAATATAGTGAGAAGCTTGGCCATATGACTCTATAATGAATAATTAAATAAATAGTATGTCAGCGTCTACAGACACACACATATGGAATAAATCATTTATACTTGTACTACTCCTATTCTTAATACTCCTCCGGTCCTTATTATAAGACCCAATTTGACTTTCTATTTGGTCCTAATTATAAGACCCAATCCATTTTGTCTCTTATATTTATGCATTTTTTTCCAAGATAATCCTTCTAATAATGATAGTTTTAGCCAATATACTTAATTATCAAGGATATTTTAGGAATGACAACACTTATTTATTATAAATAACCAACTTAACTTACTTCCTTAATCTCCTCAAATAAGTCAATTGGGTCTTATAATTAGGACCGGAGGAGTATAAAAGTTAGTTGACTAATTTGAGTAGATTAAGAAAATTAGTTAAGTTATTTATTTGTAATAAATAAGTACTACCTCCGGTTCTTAATATGAGATCTTGTTTGACTTTTATTTTAGTTTTAAATATAAGACCCCAATCAACTTTGTTTCTCATATTTATGCTTTTTTTTTTTCAAGATAGTCCTCCTAACAATAGTAGTTATAACCAATACACTTAATTAGCAAGAATATTTTAGGAAAGACAACATATATTTATTACAAATAACTAATTTAACTTCTTTCCTTAATCTCCTCAAACTAGTCAACTAGCTCTTATAATTAGGACCAGAGGTAGTATTATTATTTTTTTTTTTTCTAAAATACCCTTGCTAATCATACGTCATTTGGTAAAACATTTAACATATGCAATTACTATAAGGATTATCTTAAAAAAATAAATAAATATGAGAGACAAAATAGATCAGGATCTTATATTTAAGATCAAATTGAGAGTTAAACTAGCTCTTATATTAAGGACCAGAGATACTCCCATTAACCAAGGTCAGGGGTTCGATTCTTGCTTGGGCATGGAAAACGTTAAATCTCCTGACCAGCTATTCCACCCTTCGAAGTACCTACAAATTAGTGAATCTAGATCAGTCTGGGCCGTTGATGTACCTGAAAGATGGTCTGCCTAGGATACCGGTTGAGATCACTCAAAAAAAGAGAGACTGGAGATAGTATTTAATCAAGAATTAAGGCATAAATCTGTCTGTTCATACTGCCGCTATAATAATATTACAATGCCACGGCTGTTTATTTAAGCTAATGTTCGTTACTTTTTAATGGTGAGCCTCACGTTCATTTATATTTTATAAATTAACGGGTGTTTGCTTAAATTAACCTTCGTAGCATTTTTGCGTCATTTTAGAATCTTAGAGTATTTTTGCACCTAAATGAATATTATGGTGTTAGATGTGTGCTCGGCCCTTAATTTAACTGCCAAGTAAGCATAAATAAAACAAAACAATTAATCAAGCAAGTAGCGAGCTAGGGATTTTAACATTTTGCTAAAAAAAAAGAGATTCTAATAAAAAAGGTATATTTCTTAAGACGGCCACAAGAACAACCCTCCCAATTAACAAGAGGCTAAGCATATCCTATTCCTATTCTCTGTTTGTTTTCAACACACGCAATGTTATAATTGGCGTATGTGATGAACTGATGATATATCTTAAACTCGAATCTTGGTTCCGTAAGCTTCAAGGTTGTTGTCGTTGACCATAAATTGACAATTTATCAATATTAATATTAATATATTAAATGTTAAATAAACCATGAACCTTAAGCTACTTGTTCTTTTAGATTTAATATTACACATAAAAAAATGCAGTTTTTTTTGCCTGAAATAAAATAAAAAAAAAATGCGGTTAACCATTTGAATTCTACAATAGCTTAAAAGCATCCATAAAATTATTTAACTAACATCGCAAGTGGAGGATGAACAACTAATTTCTTAAACAAGCCATGCAAGTTTTGGTTCATTAACGTTCTTACAGGTGTCCGCGAAGGACTAGATTTAGGACATGCTTGAAATTTAGGATGAAAGAGACATATAAAGGAAGAATTTTAAAGGCTAAGTGAAAAATCGCCTTCATTATCCCTTCTTATTTGTCGACTTCCAAATAAAGGGAAAAAAAACCACGACCAAATCTTCCCTCCCCTGGTAACATCACGAGCATACCTTGAAGCTTTTAGGTATTTGTTTAGTGTCCTCTTAATAAAATATTCTTCTGATTCTTAATTCTAGTCCTTAATGTACGATCTGATTATTCAGTTGATTTTAGTTCTAAATGTAAGATTTATTTTTCATATTTATCAATTTTTTTAAACTACCTTTATTAATACTCTTTTAACTATAATTAAATAGAAGAGAGAAAGAGGATATTAAGAAAGATGATTATAATATTTTTGAAAAAAAATTTCGATTAACTAACCTACCTAACTTTTTTAATCTAATTAAATTACTTAAACAGGTTTTATGTTAAGGACCTTGTACAATTTTTCACAACCCTTAATGCTGTATTATTGACTTCATAATATAATTATATAGAAAAACCGCCAACATTCCAGTTCAAGACGGCGCCAGTTAGGCAGTTATAGCCCATGAATCAAACCACCGTCATGGATTTTATAATTTTTACAAAATAACATCAACATTCACTAAACCACCATTGTTGAAGGCTAGAATAATTATCTGTACCACACAATACACACAGTAACAGTTACCAAGCATTTTGACAAGAACTGTGCAGAAATTCTCATGTGGAGGACCTTTCAGATGCCAAATCAAGTAGCTTGCGGAAGAACTGGTGAGGATACATAGGTGGGTTCTCTGCTAGAGCCTGAGATAAGCATTGAAAGACAAAGTCAGCTAGAATCATCAGACGAATTGGACTAATTGGTTATTAGTTATGTTCCAGTTCTTGATTTAAAATGTCTGTGTGTTTACATATAGATCCCTTTTGTTGGATTTCATTTATTTCCTTCCGTTTGACACAAGGTTTCTTCCTCCACACACAGAAATTTCAAGTCTTTCAGATATCAAAACTGTGGTTTCACACTTCATCTCCCTCAAGCCATTAGGTGGGGCAAGACATAAAAATCTACCCAAAACCAGAAGAAAATCGCTCAAATTTATGTCAATGGCCTTTACGATTTACCGACTGATTTTAAATGCAGTGTGGAATGATGGCCCCATTCAACTTTCAGATGCACCAAAGTACGTAACTGGCGAATGCCTGATCCTTGAAAATTGAAATATTGCTTGAAAGATTAAGAAAGCAAAAGAATTTTATAAGTGCAGGAACTGACCTGATGAATCAGAACAGTGGAAGGTGTCATTCCAGGCACAGTATTCACCTCTATGATTAAAACCTACAAGTCATGAAATGATGGAGGAGTAAGAAAAATAAGTTGCAAGACAAAAATGACTCCTTGATGTCAACAGAAATCTGTGAGTTCAGCATAAACATTAATAGCTCCTTCATTACATATCAAGGGGCATATCTGATCTAAGCTTGAGGAGGAATCAATGATATATCAATGGAAATGAGGGAAATGAGAAAATATGCCCCAAGGAGGAGATCAACAAACCTCTCCACTGTCAACATTGACAAATGCATCAATGCGCGAAAATCCTTCTAATTGTAGGGTGTTTGCAATGAGTTCAATATTCTGCTTGCAGGTTCTCAAAGCCGCTTCACTATTACAGAGAAGAAAGAAGATATTATTCAAGAAACCATTGATAAATTCAATTATCCAGGTAAAACTAGAATTTTCAGTTCATCAATGTGTGATATGCAAGGGAGATGTTAAACCAGCTTATAGAATATTAGATATCAGTATTTATTAGATTTGGAATTGAAACTATGTTTCCAAATATCAATATACCTGCCACAGACATTTTATGGAATTATAAATTTTTTTGGGCCAATTTTAAGGAATTATAAATAGTTCTTAGGTTTAAGATATCAACCCTGATTGCAGATTTAAGGAATTATTCAGGAGCATAATGATTCCAAGTTTATACCTACTTGTAACCAGGAAAAGGCTTTACTCTGTTAAGTATGGCAATCGAATGCCAATAAAAAAAATTAGTGATGGTCTTCAAAGACTAAGGTAAACAAGAGATTCCAAGACATTAAGAGATGTAGTCATGAAAATGATCACGTAAACAAAGTAACAAGTACCTCATGATTGACAAGGGAGGTGGAGTCAGATTGATGCCTGTCCCACCTGACAGACAATATTCCAAGTGACGATTACAGATAAGCCATTGTGAAGAGTAGCAGTCAAAATAAAGGAAAACAAAATAAGAAATAAAGACAGATAAGTGGAATCCCAACCGTAATACCCCAAAAACCAAATAGATTCCCAACATAAGAGAAAGAGTAGGGAAAAAACGAGCAGGTAAAGGACAAAGTGATATTTAGGTCATTTAAAGTGATTTGATGTTTACTTTTTATATACTATCTCCGGTCCTTAATATAAGACCTTGTTTGACTTTTATTTTGGTCC